TCTGTGTGTGAGGTGGGGAGTGTGTGAGGTGGGGAGTGTGTGAGGTGTGTGTGAGGTGAGGTGTGGTGCGTGAGTAAGATGTGGTGTCTGAAGTGTGTGTGTGAGGTGGGGTGTGTGTGAGGTTAGGTGTGGTGTGTGAGTAAGGTGTGCTGTGGGTGTGAGGTGTGTTGTGTGAGGTGAGGAGTGTGTATTAGGTGAGGTGTGTGTGAGGTGTGTGTATTAGGTGAGGTGTGCATGTGTGTGAGGTGTGTGTGTGTGTGTGTGTGTGTGTGTGTGTGAGGTGTGTGGTCTCACTGTTCTGCAGTGGCTGTAGATGTAGTCCTCCACGTCAACACTCACTGCGCTGGTACACTCGTCCAAAATGGCGAACTGGGGCTTGTGGTAGAACAACCGGGCCATCTGCAAACAGAACCACACAAAGCACAAACGAAACAAAACAAAAAAACGCACAAATGAGAAACCTCAATGGCTCAAATCAAGACCATTAAAGGTGTACATAAAGTGACAGAGACAGACCAGCGAAGGCTGAACTGGGACTCAGGGATTCAGATTCCATAACTCCTGAATCTCCTTCAGATACGGGGAGGGTTAGGCAACCCCCGTGGCAAGAGGCACGTTTGGAATGGCCAATTCAACAAAAAAGCATGTTTTGGGACCCTGAAGAGGGAGAATCCCCAGAGGGAAACCATGCATGGGTGGGAGACTTACAGCGAGGGGGGGGACAGGGCAAACCGCTGGCTAACACCAGCTGGCTAACACCAGCTGGCTAACACCAGCTAGCTGACACCAGCTAGCTGACACCAGCTAGCTGACACCAGCTAGCTAACACCAGCTAGCTAACACCAGCTAGCTAACACCAGCTAGCTAACACCAGCTAGCTAACACGCAGACCTGGACAGGGTGCTAAAGCTGAACTAAAATTTCGGGGGCTCTGGGCTTCCCGTTTAAATCAATGGTAATGCCTCCCGGGAGCTCTTACAGCCATCCTCTGCTTCTCCCCTCCACTCAGAACGTCCATCCAGTCCTGGACGGTGTCCCAGCTGCCCTCTCTGTCCAGGATGTGGCCCAGCTGGACGTTGTCCAGGTATTCCTTCAGCACCTGGAAACAGGAACACACTCGGCCGTCACAGACGCGTTCAGTGTTCAGGGGGGGGCGGGGGGACGGGACTGTTTCTGCTGCTCTGCCCCACCTGGTCAGAGATGCCTTTCCGCCTCTGGTCGTCCACCGTGTCCGGGTAGATGACCTGGTCCCGCAGAGAGCCCAGCGTCATGTAGGGTCTCTGCAAAACCAAAGAAAGCAGTCAGACTTAAACCTAAGACTAGAACAGTGAGCATCACATGAAAGCACCTGACTGTGGATGGTTTGTGTTTCCATTTACAAATGACCTCCACTCTGGCGACAACTCAAAGCCAAAGCTCGTTGGCCAGCCTTCAGCGCTAACACATTTAGGAAATAGATTTCTAAATAATATCAATTGTCTTGAATATTGATAGAATTCACTTTGAGGTGATCAGCAAGAAAGATGGAGCAACTCGTAACTGAGTTTTTATTTGACACTTCAGAAGCTCAGAAACGAGAATCCACAAAAAAGATATTACATATTACAAACAATAGTTATTAGTTCAAATTAAACAGTGCAAATTAAAATTGAAAAATTTATTCTGCAAAGAAGAAATGGTACGAAAATGGTTCTCAAAGATATTTTTCATCAGAGAACATTTTGTTTGGACTTCTTCAAACATATAAGTTTGCATTGGTTGGCCTACTAAGTTCTACTAAGCAGATCTGACTGATAATTATCTATGCAGTTAAACTAGTTTGTAACCATGTTGCTGTTAAAGGCTCAAACTAAGTAAAACTATGAATAAAAACTGTGCGTCGACTAGATGGGGAATCTTACCTGTGGGACGTAGAAGAGCTTTCCTCTCTCAGGTTTAGTCAGACATCCACCAAAAAGAGGCCATAACTTAAAGACAAAAAAAAGAAAACGTATGTAATGAGGCAAATGATGGACTGGGTATGCAATCACCAGATCCCTGACCAAGGACTGGGTTTACTGACATGTCAGTCACAACATTAATTCTTAATAAATAACTCAATTGATTTTTTTATGTATGCAAGTAATATGGACAGCTTGGGTTATTCAACAATAAAAAGGTAACTTTTGAACCAGCGTTGACCTCCACGTCCTTAATTTGAAACAAATTCATCATAAGACCTGATTGATACGTTTAAATTTCTACAAAACTGTGAAACTGGATGACAGAATAAACAGAAACACATGGATTTAATGCTTCAAAACAGAATACAAGTAGGGTTATTTTTCTGGTTCTTAAAGACATGTCATCTCTAAATTGAGAAGCATCGTCGGTTTTAACAAATAAGTGGCATGTTTTGCATCGTTTACCCACAAAATACTAGTCAAATGACTAGAAAAGTAGTTTATAAGTACAGTGCAACACAATCTGTATCATCATATAAACCTCATATGAAAAAAGCCCTATAATTACCATTCTTATAGTTACTTACGATTACAACATGGAAATGTCTACAAAATACTTAAAATAGATAAAAGAAAAGTCCATCCAACTCCTACCTCTCCAAGCACTCGAAACAAAGAGCTCTTTCCACAGCCGTTTGGTCCACACACGAGAACATTGGTGCCAGACTTCACCTTCAAGATCCAGAGAACCAGTTTAGAACCACCAGGCCCAGGTCAGTGAGTATAATGAGTCATCCCAGTCCCCCGGCAATAGATTTGACCCTTATGGCACGAGCATTTTTCAAGATGATCATGCATAGGTTGATCCCCCTCCCAGTGATTCAAAGAGAGGGAAACATTTTCACACGTGGATTAGTCGGAACAGAGTCAAGAACTGGGCTCAGTTCAGATCTCTGTGATGTTCTAGACCGGATTAGAAACCTGTCTGACTTTCCAAACTAAAAAAATCTCCAGGAGACCACATTTCTAGAGCGTTAAGAATACTTTTCCGACACACAGCTCGGTCAAAAACTGCTGGTCTACTTGTGGTTCAGAGAGTTTCTACAACTACAAAAGGAGGCAGAGCCTTCATTTGTCATAATCAGAAATATCCCTCTGGATTAAGCCAGTTCTATTTTAGGTAAAATAAATTCTTGCCACAAATTAAGATCATGCTTTAAGTGTTCATTTTTGATAAAGAACAACGTTTGGGATAGACTCAGAAATATTTCTTAGTTATGCAGCTTTGTTCCTTTCATATATTTCTTTCCATCAAAAGGAATGTTCAGGATAAGAGACTGAATCAAATAATTGTCTTCTGGGAAAAGCAACTTTACAATACTTAGATACTATAGGGCTATATAATAATTGCCTTGAATTGGACTGTATTATTGAAATATTTAGATAATATTTGTTGTGATTAGTAGGTTTATGAGTCAAACGTAGCCCCTGAGAGGAATCACTAAGAAAAGTCAGTGGCTCAAATAATCCATTAAAAAACAAACAATCATTCATTTAAAGTGTTAATTCTAATCATAAAATATTTAAACTATAACTGACTATTTTGACCGAGGATAACGATGAATGTATTTATTAATCATAATTACCTCAAATGAGAGGTTTTTGATCAGGATGTCTCCGTTGGGTGTTGCTAGTGGAGTGTCGTCAAATCTGCAACATCAAAAACTTATTTTGACAAAAGGACTGTGGCAGATAAAAAAGAGAATTTGAAAATAAAAAGTGAGTGTGTTTTCCAACGCAGAATATAAAGGACGCACTTGATGATATGATCTTTGTTGATGATTAGGCCACTTCCGGGTACCAGGGTGATTTTCTCTGCTGCGTCAGCTTCTGGGATTAATGACATGAACCATAGTTAAATAAGCTTCTTAGGCACGGATTCAGCTCTCTGGTATGAGAACTATTTTCAGTGACAAATTTTTTTGTGAGCCAGTGTACCCCTCTCATGCTGGGAAACCATGGTGCGTTCGTATCTGCCAGAATTGAGATCCTTGAGAACCCCCATGAGTTCAGTGATTCTAGACGTAAATCTGAAAGGAGCAAAAGACAATCATAAACACAGTAAAATGAGCCAATTCGTTCATGGACAGCTTCAAGGATCAGCTTGAGAGTAAACATCCTGGAGGTCTAATCATCTGCGTGACATCAACCAAAGGCATACATGACATAATGAGGCCAAGACTCTCCCCATTCCAGACCCCTCCTATTTGTTGTTGTGCTATTGTAGTTTTACTCACCCAGAGAGACGGGTCATCTCCCTGCCAGCCAGAACAATCCTGCCAAGGGCCTGGGACATTCTCAGGAGCATCCTCCCACTCTGGTAGTAGTCCTACAGTACCCATAACACTTATTATTCTCAGTGACTGTAATGATTGCGTATTTTAAAAAGTGGTTGTGATGCGCCTGGATGCTTTCTCTCACCTCTAGCAGCTCAGAATGGGTGCTGTGCAGGTGCCTGGGATCAGATAGATTGAGAAATGGCCGGCTGACCACCAGGTACCCCACCACGGTGGCAATATCTGCAATGGTACGCCAAACGAAAGTTATTTGTCAGTTGGGGGGATTTTTTCATTGATGTAGCTCATATATTTGTGTTTGTCTTTTAATCTTCATTTGTTCATGTACTTGCACTTACACTTTGCAATTATGCTGTCTACAAATCCCATGGAAAAGCGGAAGAAAATGAAGTTATGAAGGTGGTCAACCTGAAAGTGGAAAGACATATTTACTACAATACATTAGTGGTGGGACGTGATCCATAGAATACACATACAGTTAATTAGATACCCTTATAATAAATAAACCTCAAGCAATTGTTATTGAAAAGGCAATAATATCCTGTAATGATTATTTTCAAAAATTGATTTTATGAACATCCATATGGCTCCAGTCGTGATTAGAGTGGACCAATCAAAGTTTGTCGTTGCAGCCTTTGTCTCTACACTCAACAAGTCTGTTTAATTCGAGCATGCAAAAGTTTGCTTTGAGAGGCCAAAAGAGTTTGTGCATGGACAATAAGAGACATGACGAGCTCTTCCTCTCTCTGGCATGTTTATTTGGTTATATGGGTAACTAAATATAACCCGTGTGTGACTAGATGTTTTTCTGACATATATTTGTTGTCTTGGGGCCTTATCTTCCATCATTGATTACTAAACTTTGCTTTGTGCTGTGCATCTTGTGATCTAGCAGATTAACTTTTGGTACAATACTGCCACTTACTGGAGAAAGCAAATGAGGGAACTAAGATATGGGGTTGATCAAGGTCAGGTTTTTAACTGTTTTTTTAAAATGAGTTTTAATAAATCAATCTCCATTAATGCGATTAAAATCCCAGCCCTGCAATATACATTATTATTCAAAACTATTGAATTGTTGGGAAACAATAAAACAGATTTGAACTTGTTTGAAACTTTGTACCTACTTATTTACACTTATTTTTATGGTTACAATACCCTTTAACATCTAAACATTAACAGCAAAACCTCCTTGTAATCTTATCTCATGTGATGATAAACTTATAGTAAGCTTATCTTGACTCTTTTAAACCAATCTGTCCAGTAGTAACTTCCAACAAAGGTTCCCAATGACAAACACTTCCACCTGTAACACACCAGTTTCTTGAAGGTGGCGTGAATGGTCTGTTTTTCCCTCATGTTCCCGTTGTAGAAGGCAATCTCCTCACTGAGTGAACACAAAGAGAGGACTTGAACTGGTGCATGCAGCTCCACACCGACACCTTTTTCAGACTCAAACGAGAGAAGATTTTTTTTTCCATATGTGCTTCTGTGGTCATCACTTTAGGTATTTAGACAATAGGGTGGGACACATGGTTCCCTACAGTAGATACTAATGTATGAATACTCTGTTACAAATATAGCTGCACTTGCTTTTATCTCCCTCACATTTCTGGGCAACAGCGCGATAGTGAGGTACGGCCTACCCACGTCGGAGCAGCTGCCCCGGGGTTTACCTGTTGGTGATGAGGCGAGAGTTGACGTAGCGGTACTCTCCCTCATAGCGCTGCTCGGAGACGGTCATCTTGCCGATGGGTCGCCTTAGTCTAGTCAAGAACAGGCCTGAGATCAGCAGGTAGGCCATCATGATGGCTGGGCCCTGGTTCAGAAAGGGAGAGGGAACATCAACACAGTCTTTTACAGAATAACACTTGACAGAAGGTTGCATGTATGAAAAAGACAAAAGAAATGGTGCTCCTGTTGAAACTAATGATGAACTAATTAAGGAAAAAATATAAAACAAAGAGAGTTCTGCATGACAGCTGAACAATTCCTAGTGTTTTTGTCTTGGTTATTCCTAATGCATCATTGCTAATCTGTCAAATTGATAGTATCTTAAAATATAAACAGAAAAAACAAACAAAAGAACGCTGCACAATCCACTGTTTTAAAAAAATCTCCCAAACAAAAATGCCGCTGAGGTTAGAACATGTGGGATGCATTTGTCAAATGTTTAAAAAAAAAGCCCTAGTGTGATGTTTACTGATGATGAGGAGACGAACAGCAGCTTGGTGATGTCCTTAGCGAGTTCATAAAGCTAAGTTAATTCTACCATGACCTCTTCTAGAGCTGTTTAGGTAGGTAAAATGTGTCAGTCCTTTAGGAGCAGTCCAACAGAGATTTAAAGGAGAATCAAAATATTTTATCCAATATGTCCTGTCAACATGTCAGGGCCCAGTACTTTAGCCAGGTTGCATGTAAGCAAAAAGCACACGGACATCCTGCCCAACTCTGTAGGTCTGACCAGTGAAGATCAGATATTTCCCTTCTTAAATCTGATTAGAGTTAGATGTGAATTCTTTTCCGTTGTTTCGGTTTGTCAAAAGTTAATGAGCGTCACACTTCCAGATCCCAGAACACAAAATAAGGAAAAGATAAATACCAATTATTGTAAGTATGGCAAGCATTTAATTTTTGTTCCCAATGGTTCGGTGAGAGTAACTTGCTTACCTGAGCACCGATGGCACTTGTCAGCTTAAAGATGTACAGACCAATATCTAACAGAGGCTGCAGGACAGAGAGACAGATGAAAAGGCCATAAGTAATGCTGTGTAAAACAACAATGTAAAACATACAGAATGAAACAATATGGCAATTCTGAATCCATAGGACATATCATCAATTCTACAAACACAATTTCTTTACCAAACACTATGGGTATTTGTAGATGCCCTTTTAATTTATTGGCAGAAAACAGCTTACAGTTCCACTAAGCCTGTACAGGCTGGAATAACTTTGACCTTCACTTTTTTCTGTATCATGTCAAACTTGAAACGTTACACTAAAATGTTAGATGTGTTCTATTTCTTTTCCCTCCAGTTCATCAGAAGGCCACGCATGGAGGATCCCCCACACTAACATTCCCTCCTACAGGCAATGTCTGGAGTTCAATTAACTTAACACTTTTGATTTTAGAGGGTGGAAGACAGAGAAGAAGAGAGTACCCGGAGGGGTACCCATATAGACACAGACAAAACATGCAAACTGCACACAGAGAGGGCAGTTTGCATCCCTCCAGGGATTCAAACAGGGACTTTCTTTGCTGTGAGGCCACAGTGCTAACCGCCATGCCTTGTTTTGTTGTTTTCTTTTATTCTAACGCAGCTGTGCACCATATTCCAGACCATTTAGTTCTTGAACTCCAGTCAAATGGTACCTTAACATTACAGTGCCAGGACATACCTTGCTGAGGTTGGAGTAGAGATCGACCACACTGTTGCAGAATTTCTCAACGTCTTGCGTCAGTAACTGATCTGCGTTTGCTATCCGGTTGTCCAGGTTGCCCATTTTGTAGTATGTAAAACCTCTGCAGGGATAAAAATACACGGTGAAGACAAAGAAGTCAAAAGAGATGCCAAACATGTGCAATAACTAATTACTTTACTTTAGTTTTCGGTTCATCTTTGCTAACCAACAAGTTAGATACAAACGAATGTTACAATTTCTTCTATATTTCACAGGCAAAAGTGGATTTTAGTCCACAAGTTGTGATCCAACTATGGCCAAAAGGTTTTATATTCTCTGCATGCTATTGGTATTGTTGCCTTTTCTTTAACAAAAAAACAACAACAAAGAAACCAACAAAACACTGTCTTGTGGGATCATATTGACCATGAACTGAGCAAAAAGGAACATATAAAGATCACTGGAATGTCATTAAGGAACCAGGAAAAGTCATTTCTACTTGAAGAAACTGTAAAAAGCATGCCTATGATGATTGAGGCCACGCTAAATGAAAAAGTTGTCACAAAATATAAGTTATAGTATGGCCAGCAGCTAAAAAGGGTCAGGTATCAGACAGATGACAACAGTTATAGCATTTATACAAAAAAAAAGAAACAATATATAGTGAAATAATTAAAATCATAAAAGAAAACAAAAACTACAAGATTTTTGTACTTACTCCAGGTACTGGTCATACAGCTTCTTTGTGAGTCTCTCACGGAACCTAAGTTTTAGCTCATTCAGGCCCAATTTCAGGAAGTTGTTCACCAAAGCTATCTGAAATGATCCAGTCACAAACAACATGCATGTATATTTAGGTCCTAAACATGTTTTTGTCCTTTTTAAAGTAAAAGTCAGTAAAAGTTCATTTGTTGTCAGAAAAGTATAACAATTTTTTGCTTGGTGGCTATCAAAATAATAGACTTTTTCCTGTTTTATTAGGATTTTCTGCTGTTTTTTCATATTTTATCAATGTGACACAGTGATATATTTAAGCCATTTTCACACAGGCACATATTTTGGTGGTCTGGGTCAGTAAAACACATTTCTGAAATGCCCATTCTTAACTTTTAAGAGAAACATTTGACCCAGCCTCCCAGAACCAGCTTTGGAGCATCAGCCGGTGAGATGATGTAGAACAATATCAGCATACATTCTTTAGCATTTGCTCCCGACGTGAGCGTGAGCACGTGCTGGTAAAGGTTTGTTCTTTCCTTTTGCTCCACTGAATTAGAACAGATTATGTTGTAGCACACAATAAACAGGCTAATCTTCTATTCAGAAACTAAACCTCTTGGTCCTTTAACATTCCAGTCACAATTCTTACAATATCCTTAGTCCTTTGTAGATAGTTAGAGGATTATTATTACAACAGAAACTTTCTTTTCCAAACATGTCAGTCAAGGACTTCAGTGACATCTATTATAACACTTTTAGAAGGCCTCGATATTAAATGCGTCCATTATCTTTTTACGGGTCATTTTAGGTTTTATTTTGGAACAAGAGCTTCATTTTTATGTACCTTTCAAGATTAATATGAAATATAATATGCAAAAAATTAGGTAAAACCTTTTCTCTATGGCATTACATTGCCATCTAGTGGCCTTTGTCAGAATACCAAAAATCTGTTCATGAATGAACAATGTCAATTTTTACTCCACAAAAAGATTTTTTTTTTTTTTGCTCCAGCAAGAAGTTTCAATGTTTTGACAAGATCCTAGATCTGGACTACAAATGTCCACAAAAATTCCTTCCAATGTCAAATGTCCATGTGTGAAAATGGCTTAAGTTAGACGAGAGGATAACCATGAGAAAGGTCCGAATAAACGCAGGAAAAAAGTCAAGTAAAACAGTAAAGTATCCATTATAAATGGATATTACATAATATAGGATATTAACGTTTACATTGCTAATTCTACGTAATATGACATTTAATAAACCATGCATATGAAATTCAGATCAAACATACACATGTCTAAAATGTTAATAAAAAAAAACACTTACAAATGGCATGAATTTGATAAAGCTGAACAAGAAGATCTTGAAATCTTTAGTCGAGCGACCAATAATTGCACTGCAAACCACAACATGCAGAAAGATCAGCAAACACTGGGTGAGTCAAACAATCAAAAAGGTCTAAACAACGTCAGTTATTTTCCAATTCCCTTCATGAAACAAATAAGAGGTCCCTTTAACCTGGAAAAAAAGTTGATGGTATAACTTACAATTGGGTAACGCTGACTCATAAAGGAGTATCGCTACATTCTTATGTATAATATTGATACACTTTTTCAAATCATAAAAAAAGTATTCTTTTTTATCTGCTGGGAGTAATAAGAAAAAAAGTATTTTCAAATAGACACAAACTATTTCATAATTGTAATTCTGCCACTTTGCTGAGATGTTCCATCTGTGAAACCTAATCTGACTTAAATACTTGATCATTTATGGAAAAAAAGGGTTTTCACTACCATGGCAATATTGTCAAATGGAGAGAAAAGGAACACGAGTCAGTTTAATGACTCGGTTATCCAAAAGTCAGAAGTTAAAAAAGCAGTGTTAGTGGTTCACAGCTTTATTTCTCTACAGCAGGGAGTGCATATTGGAGTTACCACTGGGATGGCTGTTATGTAGGAATAAAAGTGCATCTTGAAAAGACTGATGTCTCTCTTTATAATACCGCTGTGGAGAGTGAAAACAATGTCAGTTCACAGATGTCCAAAATTATTATCAATTATTTAAATGGTCATTTTCAATACACCCGTTTTTGGGAAAAGGTTCACAAGGTAATGTGTACTATTTTTAGTCATGAAATGGCTTTGCAGTTTTTGTCTTTTTCGGGACTTGTTATTTCTCTGCCAGACAAGGCTATTTATTTATATGATAATTAATTATATTATATATAATATTTTTTATATCATATATTTAAATTTTCCCCAGCTTGCAAAATAGCACTTAAAAGACGTTGGCTACTTCAGGAATCGCCTGCAGTTTCTGACTGGATAGATATTGTAAATGAGACTATAATGGAGGCAATCTCATTCTCTGTCCATCTTAAGAAAAGTATTTCTATAAGCTTTGGGGGGAGAATGGGTTGGATATGTTAAATCTGTTTCTTAAATCTTTTTCCACCTTTCTCTCCCACTGGGCCCCAAATAATACACATGTGATATACTGTTACTTATGTTTTCTCCCCACTATTAGTCTTTTTATCTTCTCACTCTCCCATACTGTTGCTAGTTGGCAAAAACCTTGCTCATATAAAAAAAAGGAAAAAAAAGATGGCATTTGACCAGACTATATTTCAGCTCTTCAAGTTCAAACACCATTTAGCTGGCTGAAAAATAATAAAGAATGTTAAATTGTTATCTATAAAATGATTAAGGTAAAGGAACAGGATCGGAATATCAGACGGTCTTGAAAGCCTTTATGGATTTTAAGGTTGACGAGTGGAATGCTATTTTTCAGCTTTTAAATAGAAAGATGAAAAAGATGTGCAAATATGCAAACATCTATTTATGTCTAGCTGAGTGAACACATGCAGGAGTTGGGACACTCATTTTTTGCCATACAGTATGTAGGTTATTCAAATGTATATTTAAAAGATGTGTATATTTGTCCAAAAACAAGTATAGAAAACATTTATCGTTACATTTTTGTGTTCTTTCATGGGACAAAATACATCTGGAGTCTTATCTAAATAATTGTCATTATTATGTTTTTGCTTTGTATCAGTGCCCAATTGACACATTTCCCTGTATTTGTTTTGTCCTTTGACAAAAAAAAAAAACTGCATTATCCCACCAAAGGTACTAAAACAAGCAGAAAGCTGTGTGTAAAACCAAAGTCCAACCTTTCAATCATGGTGCCATTCTGGATCATCCACACATCACAGTAGGTTCTGGTCACCAACATGGTGGCGATAAGGATAAGGTAGGCGGTCTGTGGGGAAAAAGGCAACCCCACATAACAGTTAGTGGACCTCACAACACATTGGGAACGATTAAAGCCTTTTTCGTCCTGCCTTTGACCCTCTTCATGTCTCTCTAACTGATCAGATAAAGGCAGCCACTTGGCAGTGACCTTGGCTTATGAAGCCGACGTTTCTGTGTCAAAGGGCACAGCTATTTCAACAGCAAAGTGAGATCATAATTTAAGTCCCCCCCCTTCCCCAAGTCCATTCTCAGTTGTTAACTTAATGATTTTGTAATTATCTCACAACATTCAAAGGTAAAACATCATGGTTAAGATATATTTAGTGGCAAGACTAGAAACTTGACATCCAGACTAAAGAAAAACTTAAATAAAAAAAAAGGAAAAAGAGCATGTTGTATCAGAATCAATGTGTAAAATATACCACAGAAATTGAATAAAAGAGGGGCATTATATTGGCCATTTAGTGGGAATAATCCCATTTTAGTAATGGTGCATTCAATGACCAACAGTTAAGAAGAATTTCAAACTTTTTACGGGACCCAACTTACACCGAAAAAATGTTACATCCCTTTCTCTTGCAGTTGGACTCTTTGGTGTGCCTGAATAGCTAAGTATTGTTAATTTTCTTCTTCAAACACATTTCACATCGTAAATCCAACCGTACGCTCATTTTCTAAAATCTGTGTCAGGTTTGCTAGCAGCATGGCAGCCAGCACAAATAAATGGTTCACGATCCGACACAAATTTGTTCACTGCTCTCATTTGCTTCATGTGTCGGGTCCTGGACTACTTATCTGCATACTTTAGCAAAAAAAAAACACATGTAACGAATCTTATCTTTATGTACTTTTGAAGGTGAAGCTGTCGGAACAGCATCTTGGCTCTGCACAGTAAAAAACCAGCCTGTCTATTTAATGTTTCATTAGCAACAGCACCTTTTTATTCTTTAACTTTGAAATTAGCTACAGTTGAAATGAACAGAGTTTAGATTTAATCAATCACAAGCTTAAAATTCTACTCAACCAAAGCCTGCTGCGGACAAGAAATGTTGACTTGTCTCTCCACTTAAATACCTTTTTTTTTTCACATATATGTTTTAATTATTTGACCTATGTTCATATACATTTATCTGAGGGTTTACAGTACCCTGTAACCTTGGAAAGCATTATAATTGTTCAAATGAAACTGGAAAGTTTAGTTTACTAATCTATGCATGTTGAAAAAAGAAGGTGACATATAACTGATATCCATTCATTCAAACCGTTACTGAATAAAATTAAAACTCCACCTATTTTTAGGGTATAGTGATGAGATTTCTTGCACGGAGGGATATTAAAATCAATTACCTAGACCTGTCAGCCTCACTTACCTTTGTCATTTGTGTCGCATCAACTGTCTCACCAAGTGCTAAACGGCATCATTTAAAATGGTTTCGGTATCCGGATTATACAATTGAATAATTGACTAAATTCCCTTCCACATGATGCCATAATTGCCCGTCATCTTCCTTAATCAGGTTTACACACACACAGACACACACAGCATTCCTGAAATGATAGCGCTTAGCTTTAGATGTCAACAAACTGGTGTGTCATCTAATGAAATAGTCTCGCCACACCTCCATGCAGAAGAAGCGTGGCACCATGATGCCCACAATCCGAAGGATCCTGAGGAAGAAGACCTTGTCCACAGCTGCCTTGTCTTTCTTTCCATCTTTCTATATGAAGGGGGGGAGGAATAGTCACTTAATTACAGTTGTATTTCACACATTTCACTAATAATTTTTAGGCTTGAAGAAAGCAAAATGCATGTGACATACCTCTGTGTTCAGCACAAGTTGTGAGTTCCCTTTTGTGCTGCAAAGAACAATAAAGGTAATTTTTTATGCTTTTTTTATGACTGAGGGGAGCTGAATTTTCCATAACAGTATTTTACAGTTTGTGATATATAATAAGAAGTTACTTAAACTTGTTCTATTCAGTTCTCTACTGTGAGAGTTTCTTAATTCTGTTACTTCATATGGATTTTAAGAAATGGATTAAGAGGGAAAAACAGGAAATAGATTATTAATTCAGGTTTCATTCGGTGTGAGCTTCATTTACACAGACATTTGCACTGGACTCTCAGTGGAAATGAAAAGCAAATAGTTCAGTAAAATAGGCATGAACCTGCCAAAATCTTGAGTTGATTCAGACAAGCCTAAAATCTAGCATCAGGCTAAACTTTCAAGTGGGACTAACAATGAGCGTCATGTGCCTTAAACAGGTGAGGAGGCAGTTAGTTTACCTCCTCAAACTCCATAATTGTGCCTGTAAACGTTACCAGTTAATCTATAACTTATTAAAGCGACCTAAAAATTATTAGTGATGACAATAAGACAGATTGCCACACTGTAACCTTGTGGGAAAACTAACCGTCAAGCAACCTTAAGTAAGAACAAAAAATCTGCCGTGGAACTTGGGTGGAAAGTTTCAGTTGCTTTGAAAACACGGTGTATTTTCGTCTGACACCGTGACCTACGATTTGACCTAATTTGTAAGCAGCACTAACCGCGAAAAAAAGTTATTGTCTTTGCAGGAAATCAAAAGTTCAGGCACATTTCAATAGCAGGTCGTTGTCACCTGTCAAAATGGGAGCTAGAAGCTACTAAGTAGCTTGCCGACAAGTGCACTAAGCTAACAGGGTTTGTGGAGAGGCCAAACAGTCCAAACTTTCCACTGACCTGTGTTGTTTGGAGGCGCGACTTCTTTGCTTCAGCAGATATAATACAAGCAAAACACCACCTGCTATGGATGAGTTTTTCGCTGTAATATATTTACTGAAGGCCGCCATGTTTCCGTCACAACGACCGGTCTGATTTGTTCCAGGCACGACTGCGGTATGTATAAAGGAGCTTCCTGCTTTTCTTCTTCGTGGGACACGCACGCGACGCACTGGCGCATTTCCGCCATCAGGTGGAACGGAGGGCTGTGATTTGCTGGTAAAGCCCATCCAGAGTGGATAGAAATACAAAAAGAGGTATACATCGATCTGTTGCTTCATGATTATCCACCATTAATGCATATCCGGTCAAGACAATGGAGGGAATTAATTATAAGCAACTACCAAAAACCCACAGACTATTTGTTTGTATTTTTTAATCCAGCAAATACCCAGATGGCCAAATGTGATTGTTCCAGGGTTGAATATAGGCAGAAACATTGAGTCCATTTTGGACCCTGATATTTAAATTATGCAAAAATTTGTCGGTGACTTAAATGTTGAATTAACATCAGGTTTTTCCACCTTAACTGATGCTGTGTCAATTTTGATTTAACCATTATCTAAATTTGGATCTACGTGCACATTAGTTTATTTTTTATTCAATCAATGATGATTCAACCATAATTTAAATTATAATCAATGTAAAGATGTATGTGCTTGTTGCAAAAACTTTGAAGACACAGTAATCATAATACAATCACTTCCAGCTCAATAAATTCCAAATTAAAGAGAGGAAGAGAGATACAAAGGAAAGTCATTTTGTGATGTTGCTGGACATTTGGCACCATCTTGGTAAAGACTCTCGGTTTGAACATTGTTGCCTTCTCATGAACAAACAAAGAACAGGCTGATATTGATAGAAGTTTACTAGCTACAGACATGGGAAGCCTTCTAGAATAGCCCAAAGCAATATTGTCTATATTTTAGCTGTTTGACAAACCTTCCTCAAAATGAGATCTGTGAATTACACCCAAATCTTTGGGTATCTCTATCTATAGATTGCACTCATCTGGCTATACCAAGAAATTATGAGTTTGACAGAAATTTACATGTGCATAATTACAAATTTCCCAAAAATGTTAATTGTAAACCCACTTTTTTTTTTACCTCTTAACTTCACAAACGTAATAATTGCCAATTCAAAAAGCCTCCTACACATACAAATCCTTAAATATGTGTGCACGGATCACCTGATGCACATGGACAAAAATTAAATTAAAAACAGGTGAGTTCACAAGTGCAGAAGAGCTTTTGCGTGCATTGTACCTAGTGCGGGTTGAAAGCTAGCTCATCTGAATTTACATTTTGCTCCCCAAATGTTTTTTTTCTCCTTATAGTTGTGCCGAGTTGGGAAAGACATCATATTCTTGCACTATTGATTATAATGATATATTATGTGCCATTGCTATATAGATTGTGGTGATTATGGTTGTACTGTATACTTCCATCGCTATTGGTCCCTGGGTGCTGGCTGGTGTCTCTCAATAGGTTTCAGGCTGGTTGGGGAAGCTTGAAGGATTACTTTCACATCTTTGCAACTGCTGAGCATCTTCAATCGAGCACCGGCTACTGTCTGCCTCTGGACAGGGTTTCCATGGAAATTCCTGGACACAGCTCCAGCAACAACCCGGATCAACCCGGATCATGGACTCGGATACACAATCCTTGGATACACACTCTTTCCCACCAACCCGGGCAGTTAATCCATTAAGAGCTAACATAGATCAAATATAATTTTCAAAAAATCTGATTGATATGTTGAGGGATTACATTTTTAAGTGTCAGAAAGGAAAGGCAGATACATGCTACAACTATTACCAAATGTGTATTTCAAATGAAACAAATGAACTTATGCCAAAGATGCTAAAAAAAATCAGAAACTTAAAGCACAAACTAAAAGTTCTAATGACACTTTTTTAAATTAAAGGCTAAATTCAGGCTGTGTGGCACACAAAAGGGATTTTATTTGAGACCTCGCAGAACAATAAAGAAAAGCTATGTCCTTTAGCTCTTTTTCTCAGGTTGAAGCACCGTGGGAAATTGTCATTTGACCTACCATAACATTTCAGACAATGAAAATCTTAACAATGGAAGGATTTCTGTTCCAAAATGGGCCATGTCTCCCTCCTGTATGTTCCATGTACAGCAATGGATAGTAATGACACTGAAAAATGGGTAAATTTACCACATGCACATGAGTAGACATTTATTTAAACTTACACAAATTAAGCTTTCAGCCGACACTACAACAGGGAATACCTGGAGCCGGGTATCTTTGGCTTTCTCCCATTACACCGTATGGCTCCTCCCTCCTTCACCCTCCCTTGTTTAGTTCTTCCTGATGTCCGAATAGAAGCTCAGTATCACTCCCAAAATCTCTTCTTCTCCAACTTTGAAACAACCGAAGTCGGAAGAGATTTGTCCATTACAATGGACACTGCTTTGCTTGTGTTGTTATGTGCTTTTCCAGTTGTTTGGTGCTACAGTTCGGGTTTGATTATGGATAGCTGTGGGGACTTGCTGCCTCACCACTCGGGGCTGAGGCCACAGACAGGACCATCACCTTACACTGTTACCACAGAGCACAGCAGCTACAGACCTGGAGAAGAAGTCAAAGGTAAGTTGAACACTTATCCAAACCTGACCCGTGAATCTAACTTTTATTATGAAAGAGGTGGATTTATTTGAATGATTCCGTTTAACCACTCTGTTCCATCACATGAGATGTGACTCATCATTGTGTTGGATATAACAAAACAAGAGGTTGCATTAGCACTCATTGTCAGATTATTCATTTAGAAGGATTTTTTTGTAGGATATTAGATAATTTACTTTTATTTAATGTCACATGCTTTTTGCATGGTGACTGTGAGGTCATAGTTTGTTTAATAGTATTTTTTTTCAATCAGATTAGATTTTCTGGCACATAATCTGAACAGAATATGTCAGTTCAAATTTTCTTTACTGACAATCTAATCTGAAACTTATCTGAAGACCAGCATCAGTAACCAGGGTGATTTGCAGGTTTGAAAAGTCAGCTTTGTGCCACTGAAACTCAGCAAAGGTTGCTTAACTACCGATCTCTCTTATGTGTGTTTGCCCTTGTGGATACATAGTAAGTCATACCGAAATGTTATTCGTTGGTATACATTTTTGTAACCTAAGTAGTTGTAGACTTCACATGGCTTAACTAATGTTAAAGAAAAGCATACATGTATGTTTTTTTATTTTGATCAGAAACAGCTACTCCTTGTGGCCATTAGCAGCACCTGTTGGAATAAGTCCACACAGTTGACCAACACTCCTCAATTTAAGACAACTTAACAGTGTTTGAGTTACTGTCCATTTCTTCCAGACTTGTAAAACCTACCAGGGAATCAAAAAAAGTTCCCCCTAGAAATCCTCAATGGTCTGCATCCTCTCAATGTACACAGCTGAAAAGGCAGGTTGTACTAGTTCAAAGTGATTGTGAAAGTCAGTATTGTGCTTTCAATCAATACATTGAAAAAGGGGTTTGTGCAAACAGATAGAACAATAGAAGAGAAGAGAAGGTGATAATAATAAAAATGTCTCTTTATTGTTCAGTGTCCCGTCGTCTCATTGCCAAGCAATTAATACTCACCACCCCGAAGCAACGGGAATGCTAATTTTCATTCATGGCAACTGCATGTGTTCTACTGAAACACTGTTTAAGAGTGATTACATAGAACTTTTAATAGATTCAGACTACATTAAAGGACAAAATCTGTATTATTGTCACGGATCATAAAGTCCCAGCAACTACCTTACTGGTAAAACTATGCTGGGTCTCAGGCTGAACAGCAAACAAGTTAGACCTCTACAAGAGTCCTCTTTGGGTTTCACCACGATTTCATCCACAAATCCATCTGTAAACATGTTGTTTATGTCAATGCATTTAGCAGATGCTTTTCTCCAAAGAAACTTCCACTGCAGATACAACATTACAGTTAGCATCCCCCTGTAAATATGCTACATAGAGGAAAATCTATATTCAGACAAGGGGAGGTGGTGACCGTGTAGAGATAGAGGGAAGTAAATGGAGAGTGGTAGAAGGGTTGAGGAGGTGCAGGGTAAGAGTTAGGGAGGGAGATGCTCTCTCAGAGGTGGGCCTTTAAGAGTTTATTGAAGAAAGACTAGTCAGTATAAAAGCAGCCACTCCACTGAAACCGCTCCCCTGACTGTGACAGAAGCCCAAAAGGAATCCAGTACTGAAGACTTAGCAACAGCTAAGAAATATCACAATTTTACTGGGACGCACACACGTTAGTTACCATCTGACACTTTTTCTTTTTGTTTCCACTGGCCATTTATTCAGCTGTACAGTACTAATGTGGAGGAAAAGTGATTCTGCAAACATCAGTGATCAATTTTTCTTTTTTTTTCTGGCAGAACATTCACAAAAATTAGTTTTGGCGTGTTTGTCATAAAGACAATCACTGTCAAAAGTGATTTTCAGTAGAAAACAAAAATTAAATACGGAATTTTTTTATGTCTCTCTGTCTCCAGTTATGCTTCAGGGTCCAGCATCTAGTCCATTCATTGGTTTTCTGCTCCAGGCTAGAGTAGTGGGGGACAGTTTTCCTGTTGGCTGGTTTTCTTTGATATCAACAGCTGCTCAACTCCTCACCTGCCACCACAGATCTGTAAGCATCCTCCTGTACACCATGAATGTTATTTCGTAAGTAACGCGAAAAGGCTTTTTCACTGTCTGACATAACGATGGAACAAATAGGTTCAAAGTCATCCAGTCTAAAACCTAAAGCTACATTTAATGGTATTTTCTAATTTAGTGCCTTGATTCTCGTTCGTTATTTTACAATTTTTTTTCAATGGTTAGTTTATCATTTTCAGTACTAATTTGTAATGAAATCAGTATTTTTTTTACATGAGAGTAAACTACAAAATGGTCCAAACCAGACTTGAACTAGGGGCTAATAACCACACCTGTTCCTCTTTTTGGTCCCAATTAAATGCATTAGTTTAATTTTTGCATGATCACACAGGACAGAGAAGGTTTTGACACTGGACTCCTGCACCAATAGTTACCTGAAAGATTCAAGAAGTCTAATAAAATATGCTTCAAGAAGTTACTTATAACTTTTATTGTAATACACTTCTTGAATGATACGTGTTAAATACATACAATGAAAATCGTTCTTTTCTTTTCGTCACATTGTCAAAGACACCACGGGATACCTCGGCTACTATAAATAGAATCTAAACTTTTAGATTGAGGTTAACTTAACTTTTGACATTATTAAGGAGTCTAAGCTTTTCAGCTAAACAATGTCAGTCTTTTCACACTCGTTTTTGGTGTTTCTCAGAGGGAAGCAGCATGGGAACAGTCTGCTGAGACTGTGATCCCTCCTGACGCGGGTCTAAATGTCCTATTTAGAGCAGAAGCTTGCACCAGAGATATATTCTGCACTTTTGATAACACACTGGAGTCCAATTCTCTTTTGCACCCTTCAGTATGACGGAGCAAGTGATAACACTCCTCCATAACCCTGTAAAAGGGGGTGTGAATTTCCGTTGGCTTTGCTAATTTTTTCTCAGCTTCCACAGAGAGTACAGTTTTTTTGTGTGATCAGTTGACGAGTTGTTGGGTGTTGTCATGGATAAGACACAATGTGTGTGTTTTTTTTCTAAATAACAGTCATTTGGACAAATGCTTTAAAGTCCCGATACTGATAATAATTTGATGCTGATGAGCCGAAAGACTTGATTTGTAAAACCAATAATTTTTAACTTCACAAGGTGATCAACCTTCATTATTTTAATGCATACACAAACACACACGCACAAAGACTGGCCCTAAAACCTGTCGTAGTGAATGTACTCATAGTGCTCCAGAGTTTATGTAGGGACTCCTCAGATAAAGGTTATTGAAACACCAAGTTTTATGTAATACACAGACTTAATAGGCTTCTATGTGTTTGAGATTATTAGAGAATTGAAGCTTTGGCAGTGAATTGTAATGTGTCTGTGCTTGTGTGTGTGTGAGAGAAGAATGCAAGTGTGTCCCACAGATCTAACTCTGCGAAGAATTCCATCCAGGTGGCATGGAAATCCGAGCCATCAGGAGACATAAAAGCTGTTACATTCCAGTTAGGTTCAATCAAATTGTTCAGTTCTCTCTTATAACAATTTGTCATGTTTCATATTCCCATTAATTTAGTGTCATATTGCATCAACAACTCTGACGTGTTTTCAGTGCCTCATTTGTACAGAATTACCAGGTTTTTTGGGTTAACGTGACAAGTCCTTCCCTGAAGATTGTTAATGACTATCAAGATGGATCAACCAGTTCACCGACTCCACCAGTTTCCAGCACTCCACAACTTCATGTGAGTAATCAAGTCAAAGCCCATAGCAGGATAATTATAGGGGAACGTTTCAAGGAAAAAAACCTGAATCATCCCTAAACATATTAGTCTTCAAAAAGTGTCAAGTGTCTTCTGCTTTTGTTCTTAACTTGAGGGGAAGTGGTTGTACATCTTTTTTCTTGGTCAGGCTACTACTTCATGGAATTAATCATGTCAAGGCGTATAGCAGGATAATTATAATGTAACATTTCAGGGAAACCTGAATCATTCCTAACAAATATGTTCTTCAAAAAGTGTCAAGTGTCTACTGCTTTTGTTCTTAATTTAAGGGGAAGTGGTTGTATACCTTATTTCTAGCCCCTGGCCTTTAGAGTCTTTTTCAGATCATGGTTTGTGATTTCCACACATATTTCTGCATTATGTGGGGTGGCTTGGGAGGAAAGAGTAGTCGCCTGCTGATTGTTTACACATATTATATGTCTTTTCTTCTATTTTTTGTTGTTTTCTATTTACTTTTGAAGGGTATCTCAAGTGCGGGCTGCGGCATCACAAAAGTGTGCTTCAGTCAGCCCCCAAACTGTGATCCAACGGTTTTTCCTGACTGTTACTTCATGTCGGCCATGATGACATCTCCTAATGGTCCAGCCATCCGCTATGAGATGACAGGTCCTTCTGATGGATATATCGCTTTTGGATTCTCAGATGATCAGATGATGGTGAGGATCAGAGGATGAATCACATTCATTGTCATTGTATTTGGAGCCTGTCAGAGTCAGCATTTAATATCTGAAGTTTGCATATTTCGTTCTACTATATGATTACAGTGTTCTATTACAGATTTTGAAGAATTGTAAGACATTGATGATATAAAATGGGGATAAGATTCAAGAAAAAAACTAAAGAAAATAAAAGTTGTAATAATAATGGGAAGACAATTGTCTGAGGCAGCTACTGTCTAGATTCAAGAAGCTAAACAGACAGAAGCTAAAGCAAGTGATAATAACATTGCAAAATAATTGGTAAAATGTACTGGAGCCACATTTCTGTAGCCAGTTTAGGGTAAGGGGACATTGTTAGAATATTAAGAAGCCTAGCTAGGGAATATAAATCAAAGAGAAGAATCAAAGATTTCTATCTTTTGAAAGGCAGCAATAATCATCTTACTGCAAGACAGAGGGATTTTGACAAAAAAAAACAAAATGCAGTTATGGCGGTCACTCTGTTATGCCGACTAGATTTTTCCTTTGGATTAGTTTTAATGTTTTATCTGGGGCTGACCAATATTAAAATGCCATGTCAACACCAGAAACAAAAAATCATTGATAGCTCCTTTGATTTGAATCTTTACGGAAATTACAGACATCAAGTGTCTGAAACAATGTCATAACTAATTATTTAAAAAATCAGTTTTAAATTTGTTTTTTTCTCAGGGAAATGATGATATATATATCTGTGGCGTGGGAAATAATGGACGGCTGTGGGTTCAACGGGCCTTTTCAACAGGACGATCAGCTCCACAAGTTGTTCCTCTGGTACAGAAGTTCTTCTAATACCAAAGATTTACATAAGCACAATCTGTCCAGTCATGGATCAAAAAGTTTTTTGCTTCTTTACATCAAAATTCAATTCAATTCTTCATTTCCAACAGGGAAACGTTTCCGAAGTCAAAACATCGATGCAAAACAGAGTCCTCAGCTGTTCCTTCACTTCCACAAATATGATTTCTACCAAGGCAACTTCTGGCTTCAAAAAAAGCTACCACCTCATGTTTGCCCATGGGCCCAGCAACAGGGGTAATGCGATCCTCACTACTATCCATAGGTGTTAGGTAATAAGAGAAAAGACTTTCAGGATGACATGAGGAAAAGTGCGATTGATCATCTTTATGGTTGAGCTTTATGAAGATCTAAGGCTGTTTCACACATGAGCAAAACATATTTTCCAATAGATGCCGCTCATTCCCCACTGGGAACCGGTGGTAAAGATAATGGATGGATTTAGCAATTTATTGAACTTTTTCATGCCACTTATTTTCCTGTCTGTGTATGTCACGAACAGGGGGAATCCAAATCCACACAGGTACCTTCATCAGTGCCAACAAGATAGATGTTTCCAGACCTTCACTAGCCCCAAAAGCTGGACTGCCATGTCTCATCCAAGCACACGGTGAGATCCGCTCTATTTCTGCCTGTGCACTATTCATTACGGAAATAGTGCACTATTTTGTCTAACAAACCTAATTTGTGATTTTTGGTCATTCACTGTGACTCAGTCCTTTGATTAAAATTTTGGATTTGCTAAATCTTTTGTTTTTTAAAGCTTTTTTATAATATAATTTAATCATTTATCTCACATCTTTAATTGAATTAAAGAGGGAAATCATTTTAAAATTAAGAGTTTAAAAGTAGGAAATTAAGAATAAGTGAAACAAAGATAAGATAAAACAGATAAAAATAACTGATCAAATAAATCAGAAGTGAACTGCAGATAACAGGGTTTTCCAACTAGATCGTGGTGTGTTAGTTGCTTCACAAATGTTGCATGGACCAATTTTGGTCCGTACATCACATCTGTGTAATGTTAATAAAAATATATGGCTATCAAAGTCATTAGAAATAAATAAACTGCATCATTTAAAATACTTCAAACGATGATTTAGGGGCACTGATGCTGATAGCCTGGATGACCCTGGGATCAATGGGAATGATGGTTGCCAGATATCTCAGAGCAGCAGCCGGGGGACTGAATTTTTTGGGGAAAGATGTTTGGTTTCTGGTAAGAGCTCACAAACAAAATCTTGTGATTCCTTGGTGACCTGACTTTTTTGCATTCCAAATATCTTTGACATTTCTTTCTTCTTAATAACATGGGATTGTGAAATGACTTTAGCACAATTTCTTTTTCACATTGTGTAATTTGTGTTCCTCAAGGTCCATGTTGCAGTGATGAGTCTGACACTGGCGGCCACCGCTATTGGTTTCATCCTCTCCTTTTCCCACGTTAAAGCCTGGTCTGGGGTCAGTATATACAGAAACCACACACACTCACACACACGTTCACTCCTAGGGGCAATTTGGAGTGTCCAATTACCCTAAGATGTATTTTTTTGGACTGGATGAAACAACATGTTTGCTAATATGTTTGTCGCTACATTTATTGATGTGATACGAGATATTATAGCTACCACGGCATACTACTTGTGCACTCTTTCCCTGTCTGCCAGCAAAGATATCTAAAATCTACATTGTCACAAAAACAAAACATTGCATTGACTCACATAAATAGAGTGAAACATATATTATTCTTCAAAAACATGTACAAATATTGAAAAATGAGATGGTTTTCCTCCTTACTGAGGTAAAATACAGGGTTGGGTGTGTTTTTAGAGCATTTAAAATAGACTAAATATCAGTGTTTGTCCTTCCATTTTTATATCTATTTTCCCAGGGGTGTGTGTACATTTTTGTCAGTGTTATAAGTATGTGCTTTTCTATTTTGCAGGGGGCCCATCCTGTGTTAGGGTGCATAGTCATGATTCTCTCTTCGCTCCAACTCTTTCTGGCTCTGCTGCGCTGTGGACCGCAACACAAGCTGTAGGTATAATCAAATGAACAGAGTCTTAGATATAAGTGATAAGATTTTAAATGCAAATTATTGTTAACAACCCAATTCCCCCACAAGAATATAGAACTGATAAAATATAGAACAAAAGAGATGCACAACTTCTAGCAGACAATATTAAAAAGCAACATATTTAGCAAGCTGTATGTGAGTGGAGAGGAAACAAAACATGTCATGAAGAACAAATGAACAGCTCAATTAGGTATTCCTTGACTTGGACATATCAAATGGGTAGCATCATTGTGATGGTTTGTTTTTTGATCGTTTGTGGTTTGTGTTTTTGTAGGAATAAAAATAAGGAAATGGAAACGTGAAACGTGGCATGTGATCGTAAGCTCAAAACAACATAGTCAATGAAAGATGCTAAAGAGATTTTAGAAATACTTGACAAGGCGTTCACTGTGGCAGGAGAATCTCTTATAGTTAGCTGTTTTAATGGTAGACTGGTGGCAACCATGCACAAATATTTACAAAAATATTGAGCCAATAAACCAAATTCTGATTCTAAGAGCGCTCTTTTCTGCACTCTGCAGCAGCCTGACCCTCAGTTTTAACTGCTCTCAGACATGACTTATAATACACATGCACACTAGGTCCTGTGAAGTGGGTGTGCTGGGGGGCATCTGGTGGGGGGGGTGTAGAGGAGATGCATGTGCTGGATGAGTGTGTAATTGTGTGTGTGGCTTTTGGTTGTTGTTTTATTTTCAATGTCTGTGGTCTGTGGTTGGGGTATGTTGTCCTCTGGTCAACTACATTTGTCTGTCTGGGGTCCTGTCTGGGGGTGGCGGGGGGGGGGGGGGATGGGGCTAATGGGCGGTCACTCGGGGGACACTGTCGTGTGACTTCCCTTACTGTCTTCTGGGTGGATGCGTATTTATCCATGCTGCTGGCTTTCTGCATTTATATCTAACAAGATATAAAAGAAAGAAGTACAAAGAAAATTACAATAAACAGCTATAATATCAAGAGTCTGCCAGGGGTGGCGAGCTGATCTTAAGGTGCAGTTTGAGCTAACACGAGAAAGAAAAAAATTAGTCGATAGAAAAAGAAAATGAACGATTGTATAGTCAGTAATTCTTTTAAATGAGAAAAACTATCTGAAAAGCAAAGTTTTTCAGGGGTAATTTTTAATAAAAAAGGAGTGAAAGAATAATTATGATGTTACATTCTTCAAAGTTCAAGAACAGTCGATTCTAAATGCACGAGAAAGGTGATTTAAAGCCAAAAATAATGTCTATGCAGAACAGTTATTCCCCTGTAATGACATTCCTGTATCAATAGCTGCTGACCTAAAGCCTCTCTGTCTTTGACAGGAGGTTTCTGTTCAGTTGGTTCCATGCTTTAAATGGAATGGCTATAAAAGCAATAGCTGGTAAGTTCAGTTTCCTTTTCACTTTCAGACTTGACAAAACCACTGCTCATATGTTGAAAGATGTTGTGAAATGCCTGTTTTTCTGTGATACCCTACAGTGGCAGCCATATTTACGGGTCTGGAGTTGATTGACAGCACCACGGACCACTGGCTGATGAAAGTGATGGGGGGCTTTGTTGGCTGGGAAGTGTTGTTCTACATCCTGTTGGAGTACCATCTGAAATGGAAGGTTAAGGGAAATGGTGAATAAACTTTACTTTTTCCAATCCATATAACCTTTATTGTAAATAAAGATCAATATAACCTTTATTGATTTAGATATTTCAGGTTCACACTAGGAAATTGTGCCCTTCTCTCTAAAACGCCTTTTCTGAGAACCAGGACCAGGATTAATCGAGGTTCCATTTTTAAAACAATTCAGATGGCCTGTATGAAAACAAGCAATCACAACTGAAGATGCACATTTTTTTGTAAAACTACACAAAGAAGAAAAGAGTTTGGAAATATATCAGAAATTAAATCTGCTATTCTGAATAATCTGGATTCCTTTTCTTATTAAAGAAAACGAGCCTGCCTTTAATGACAGTTAGCACTGTTTCATGGATGAAGAAGATCGTGATCAATTAGTGTTTTCTATAGATAAAAACAAATGTGAAGGGTAGATTTTCATATCTGGCAGAAGGTTTTCTCACATAGTTTTGTGCTTAACAGGGATCCTCATCAATATTTGTTCCAGTTAACCTTTTTTTTTCATTGTTAGGAGTCTATTGGAGCAACCACTGGACTCTGTGTTTTTACAAATATGACCTAATGCCATACCTTAAATTCTCTCTTAAAACTCACATTTAAACTAGTGCTTATATTTTGTAACAGTTCATGTAGCTTTAACGATTCTTTTTTATGATTACAGATGATACAGCCTCGCTAGGATCGAAAATGGTGAGAGATAAAAAGAAAAATGTCAACTGAATTCAAACAACATTACATCTGATTTTCTCTGTTTGTGTATATTGCAGATAAGAGCTGATTCTCTGCTGGTGACTCTGTACTTTTTGGGAAACTTTTCCTTTTTGATTGCTCTTCTGGTCGGTATCGGGATGTTGTGAGCATAAAGAACAGCCGAAGGACCACTGAATATATCTAAATAAACTATCATAGCTGCAATAAGTGAGGCTGTCCGACTTTTCCATTACTCCATTCTTGACCTCTTTGGACCTTTTTGTGTGGATCTCCTTGTGCATGCATGGGATAACAAACTCTGGCCTCTCACTAGTAATAAGCGGCATAAAAACATGGATTAATGTTTATTCAATCCATTACAAAATGTGTATTGGGGGTATACATAGTGGGTGACTCTAACAATAACCTTCTTAAATGAAGGAATATCCTGAAGAAAAAGTTTTTAGTCCAAACTTCTCTTAATTTAGAGGTGCAGGACCAGCGGCATGATGCAGTCAGTGGTCTTGGAGTTTGTCTTTGTTCTGTGCTTGAAGGAAGAAAATGTGTCAACTATTTTTTTCTGTAGAGTCGTGAGTGGGATGTGAAAGGTCTGTGTTTTCTTCAAGTCTTTAAAGGGGTAAAAATAAGAAAAGTTGATTTACATCACTGGTAAGGAACCAACCTTTGGGTTCTCATTGAAGACTCACTGTTTTCCTGGTATGGGGGAAGATCCACATCCAGAATCTCCATTCTAATCTAGAATCCACATCCCTGCCTAGAAATGCTAATGGAGTGTCAAAAAAGTAAACCCCTGTTTATTTCCAACAAGCAGCCACATCAGGGTTGGCTCAGGGGACCCTGAAACTACAGTTATGCTGGGATGATCCACAGAACCACACTCCTTTATTCCTTTTCTCCATGGACATGCAACATTATCATTTTTTAATTGTATTCTTCTGGTATCCCTGAGTTGTTTGAATCTCTAAGCATTTAAACCGACTGATATTGTTTGGAAAAATAAAAACAACGACAATAAGCTTTGCTTCCAGACCTGTAATAAGAACCCGAGAAGAAGAATCTGTGTAAAACAACATGTGGACGTCACAAGCGACCTCAAATGCTCAATTAAACTCTGCCTCTGTGACCCAGATCCACCCGGAGCCTCTATTTATTGCGTCTTCCTCTGAAGTAAACTCAATTAAGTAGTTTTCAGAACAGCACATGACCATCCTGTGATTTCCAGCTGTGGTGTTAGCCGCTGGACGTAGTGTCTGTGTGTGAGCGCCCGCTGAGGCCGTTAGCAGCAGAATGATCCCGGTCCGCTGGTTCCAGGCACTTTTCCTCACAGTTGGACTATCCGGGCTCTGTTTTGCTGGACCTTTTCACGCACAATGCAGAGTAGAATGGTATGGTCTACTTATTTTCATCGTGTTTGCTTAAAGGCATAAGTCAGAAGTCAACTACTTCTTTGTTAACTCTGAAATCTCTCTGTCGGTCTTGAAGTATTGAATTTGTAGTGAATGTCTTGAATTATTGTTCTATCTTTCTATGGAGTTTACTTCTCTGCATTCAGTTTAAAACTAAATTTACAGGAACACAGAACAAGCTTTGTTGCGTGACTGAATAGTTTTATTTTGAAAATGTCTCACTGATTGCAATCCCATTTGGTTTCGTGGAGCAATAAAACAAAATGCAGACGTTCTAATAGTATATACAAAGACAGTTACAAAATTTACCTTCAAATGAATGCCAATACCAGCCTGTGCCACCAGGTAGAGACATTTGCCTTAACATGCCCTCCACAGACTCCAGCAGTAGTAAACTTTACGTTTTAAGTTGCTACGGACACTTTCTTCCACACAGGTACTTCGGAATACCATGTCAGGTGGTTTATGAGTCCCTGGTTTCCCAAATTGAGAAGTGGAGGACCATGTCTGGCTGCACGATGGGAGGACAGAGGTGCCTGTACAAGGTGCGTGGATGAGCACCCAGACAGATTTTGAGTCATTCTAACGGAAGGAGCTGGTTATCTTGAATTATGAAGTTAAAGTTATCAAAAGCGAACATGTTTTGCACTATGGGAACTCTGGAGCATAGCTATGAATGATAATTCCCTTTCATATTTGATAAACACATTGGCACCCTTTTGTGATTTTGCGTTTTAAATTATATATACATATCATATATATATGTTTCTTGCATATTTACAGCCAGATTGCCACCATATCTAATTAAAAGATTAGAAAATAAAGAAATTATTTTATCTTGAACAAGATTGTTCATGAATATTGACGGACAATATTTGACTATTACAGTTCAGATAGCATGTGGTTAACACATTGTGATCTGAAGATTCCTCTTTTATCCTTTCAGAACAGGAATTCATGCCCTTTTTTTTTTTTAGCATTTTGAAGACAATAGGTTGCACTATATTTAAAAGATTTATCATTTGAAAAAGTGTAAAGGTGGACACCCCCCAAGATCTTTTCTTTTGTCAAGATTATGAGTGTGTAATGGCCCAGTTGCGCCACCAGAGGGCGTTTATCAATTATGAGTCACATGAAAAGTGCGCGTGAGAAAGGAAACTCAAAACCTGGTGTTCTGAAGAGTGTGCCATGTTGTAAGAAATAAAATCACCTGGAAAAGTGCAACACAAAATCAGAAGTTTGTGGTGGCATTTCAACCAGGAAGAAAAAAAATGGATTTATAGGAAGGAGATCCAGAGATCTAGTTATACTTGCAGTCCTAACTTACTGAGCATCATGTTTGCATTTCATTATACTGTTGAAAGTGAACCAAGCAAAAAGTGTTGTTTGTCTACAGTTGCAGTCTGCATCTGTGCACTTTATAGCTGCCAAGCACATAAGTCCCATCAGGAGGTTTGTGGAAGACATCAACTTCAGGCTGGTCTCCTACCGCTTTTTCACCTCCTGTCATGTTTCGGTAGGTCTTCTGGTAATTATTTTACCTAATATTTTGGAAAAATCTCAATTGCAAAAATGTATTTTTGTATGAATGCCAAATGTTATTGAGTAGTTAGGAGGTATAAATAAGCTCCACATCTTTAAAATGGTCTTAAACAGGAGACAGTGTCAGACCCCTGCCTGTTTGTTTGTAAGTAATTTGGAGCAGATGGTGAGATAGAATAATACATTTAGTGTTCTCTGTTCTTTAGAAAGATGTGTTACCAATCTGAAAATGACGGGACATCATCTAACAAAGCTTTAATTCATGGAGTCAGAGAAACAGAAAATTCAATTAATTAATTTACAGTAAAGGCAAAAGCCTCTATTGTGACTATGGATAGTCATATTATCCTTTATTTAATATTTCAATAAACAAAATGTTCTGGATAGTTTCCTGTTGTCCTATATGTGGTTGTTATTGATGAATGGATGAAACTTTCATGCAGTCATAGATAAACGCTTTACACAGTGGTGTCCACATGATGGAAACACTGCCATTGATAGATTACATGAATGGAGAGATTAAGATTTTGCAAAAAGTTTAATTTTGTGTCAGGGAAATTTTTTATTATCTCACTGTAAAGACAAACCACTCAGCATATGTGGATCTAGACCAGCCACAAAAGTTTAACTAATGGTTAAATGTGTGTGTTGGATAGGTTAAAGTAAGGTAAAATAACATGTTCCAGATTGACTCTATACAAACAAAAAGACCAAATCCATGGCATGGAAATCTAAAAATTGTGTCTGAAAAACCTTTCTGTGTCTAAGAATTAGACGTCTAAATGGATTTATACAATGGGAAAGACAACTTTGTAACTATAGTTACAAAGAAATGTTTGGGGCATAACTGTGGTTGTATCTCACAGATGATTGTGGGTGTTTTTGTGTTTCTTTTAGGCCTTGTCAGTCTCTGAAACCTGGTATGTTGTAAAAGACCATGGTGCCAACTACTGCAACCTTTACAACCTCATCGAAGGTAAGATTCCGTTTTTTAAAATGTAGTTTCAGTCATGCACTCTACTGTAAATACACTATCTGTTGATAAAAATGTCCAAATTATTGCATTCATTTTTATTGATTTCTTGAAATGCTATCATAAAATGAGGTTGCCTTAGTACCAAAATCCCATGTTAATATAGATAAACATCATTATCATTATTAACATCATGACATTGTTAAGTTTTCAAGCCAGATTCTTCAAATGGAGAATGTTTGCCTCTTACTCTACACTGAGGCATTGTTTAAGTATGAATAAAAACAAGAAAAAAAAGCAATTTTTTTTTATATATATATATATATATATAATTATATCATAGTTTTGTTGGGCTGATTTGTTTTTACCTTGACAGGTACTCATTATTTCTATTTTTCTGTTTTTTTCTTGAACAGGAAGTCACCTAACTGAATCCAGAGGTTATAAAGAGATCACCAGTGACTTTTTGTGCACGCAGCGCTCCTCTGCAAACTGCACCGTTTACTGAGTGGAAACGTAGTTCTCAGAGACTATAACGCACGCCAACAATAATCACTGTAAAGGTTTTTTCCAGATCAAGTCTGGATACAAGTGTTATATCTTTCTCTTTGTTATTGATTTCTCTATGTAGATATATTGTAAATGCATGGACACACACATGCTTGGGTAGATATGCTTGTACACACACTTTTTTGGAAAACACTGTTTTGATTTGTAAGAATGCTCCATTTTAACTTTTAAATGATCGGGAATACATATTAAAGGCATTGTTATTTTAGGGTTTGATAATAAATTGTTTTCTCTTTATAAACTTGCAGGTGCTTTTTATGGTTCACAGTCTGGATTTTCCTTTAGAGAAGGCTGTTCTCTGTTTTCTGCAGATGGTTGTATGGTTTCTGTTTCTGTATTTAGCAGACGCTTTTATCCAAAGTGACTTACAACTAGACACAATTTTACAGTTATCATCAATATGGCAATAAGCTCTCTGGAGAAAAAATCCAGAGTCAGAATCAGTGGAGACAGCAAAGAGAGAGAGGGAAGCGAAGAAAGAATAGTAGAGGGGTGTAGAGGTATGGGTAAGAGTCAGGATAGGAGATGCTCTTCGAAGAGGTGGGTCTTTAAGAGTTTCCTAAAAACATAAAGGGTGCTGCTGTTCTTGTAGCGCTCTGTAGGTCGTTCCACCATCTTGGAACAACACATGAAAACAGTCGGGATTATCTTAAGCGTGGTGTAGCTCTGCTAGGAATTTTTCAGATTGGGCCAGTTTTGACAGTTCTTGGATAATAATATTCAGATCTTCGGACCTTCTAACTAGGGATAGCGTGACGTTGTCTTCGTAAACTAAATTCAATTGGAATTGGGGTCAGTTTGACTTAATAATTTTACCCTAATGCAAGAATTATCAACTGTAAGTCCACTGAATTCCATTGCTTAGAATTCTGCTGTTAGATCCAGACTGTTTCTGCAAACATTTTTTTTTCATCAAGAACTGAAATCAGAACTTAACCTTTCATGCCTCATTTTTTCAAGACTCTCTTTTTGAGAAAAGAGAGACATATTAAAATGACTTCTTGTATTTGTTAAGGTTTTGTTTGCATTTTGTTTTCTGAAAAAATGTCACAAGGAGGTAGGTTAATTGTTGATAATTACAAATTATACGTTCATTCATCAATTGTGTGTTGATTATATATTGTATTTATGCAGTTTTGCTTTTTAAACCCTAGTGCTAGCTCACCTTTTTATTTTCTGTATATTACTGTGGTCTTATCTGTATTTAACCAAATAAAGAGTAGAAGCTTTTCCCCCCCCCCCCCCCCCAAGTCACAAGACGACAGTCTGTCTCAAGCGTTGACCACATTATAGCAGATGGCAAAAGTGGATCCCATGGCGTTAAAATATCTGTAGATAATTCCCAGAGATGAGTCGCAGCCCGACGAGGGTCATTATTCTTTCTGACATGTAAACAGGTTTTACTCTTAAAAATGAAGCCGGAGTGAGGAGCAGAGAGGGGGTCTCCCGGAGAAAAAATACTCTAAGCTGGATGTGGATCGCAGGGCAGCCTTTATTAAGGAAGCAATATGCTCGACTGGACTTTGCAATCCATCACCAGCACACATCCACTGCAGCCGCTGAATGACAACGCTGATAGAAATATAAAGGGTTAAAAGTGTACAACTCATAATGTACATAATTCCATATGTACATGATGCACAAACATAAAAAATCACCGCATTTATACAACACACTTTTACTGATTTTGTCCATCCAAACTAACTAAATCAGATGGTTAGCATTTACCTTTATCAACAGAAGCATAGAAGAGTCAATTCTAAAAACGAACTTTGCAATAACGATAAAATGGTCTAAGTAAAGGGGCTTTAAAATAATTGTAGTTGACTATCGGAACCAAATTAGTCACTGAGGGAAGGAGGTAGGGCTCTGTCTGACTCCAAGGAGGAAACTTGAATCCATTCCTGCTTGAAGGTGTTTATTTGGACTATTCCAGTATCACCACTTTGGGACATAATTATGAATGGACGTGCAAGATGGAAAATAGATTTAGAGATCAACTTTAGCGGTCAACAGAAAATATCGGCACCCCACATTTATCCTCTCTGTATCAAACAACAAAACAAGAACCATAGGCAAGCACAGGTGATATTTATCAGGCAATCATCAAACGCCCAGCCACACACACACACACACACACACACACACACACACACACACACACAC